ATTTGAATTTAGAAATCAGCAGATGTATGTGTTGACCAGTCATGATATTTGACTCACTGTTAGGACTTTAATTTCCTTTTTCAGGCTGTCAATCACCAAGGTGCTTTGACAAGAGGCTTTTTAAATGTAGAATGGAACTAAGTTATTCACCATGTTGAGTACAGCTATGAAAACCAGAATGTATCTTTCAGGTAGTCTGATGGCTCACTTGGACCTTTCATTTAACAAGAGAACCGAGTAAACAAATGATCCCCAACATCAACCTGAGCGTTTTATGTGATGGAAGTGCCACAAGCCATGGTCACGTAACATTAAAACAGTACATCTTGGGGCTGCCTAGTGGCATCTTTGCCCATCTCTACTGTGAGGACTTTCCATCCCCTGTCATCACAACCATACTGCAGAAGGCCACTTGAGTGGAGGACAGTGACTTTGCTCAGGGCATTCATATCATCTGGATTTGTCCATTACTTAATTTGCTAGTAAAAATAATAGCTTTGTTGTTTAATTGCTAAGTCATGTCCAACTCTTTTGCAACCCCAAAAGAGTAACCCACCAGGCTCCTCTGTCCATGGGGTTTCCCAAGCAAGAATACTGGAGTGGGTTGCTATTCCACTCGGGAAGATCTCCAGGGGATCCTCCCAACCCAGGGATCAAACCTGCATCTCCTGCATTGCAGGTGGATTCTTTCCTGCTGCACCATCAGAGAAGTCCAACAATAATAGCTACTACTTATTAAATTGCAATAGTTTACCATGTACTGACAATTGATGGGACATTGCATCACGTAATATTTTAAAATGCTAGGCTTTATTGGAATAAGTGTCTTACTACACATTCACAGTGATCATAGATAATAAATATCTGTGTGTTTATTATCTCATTATCTTATTTATGCCTCACAAGAACTGAAGAGGGGCATTGGATTAACACTGTATTACACATGAGGAAAGTGAGCAGATAAGTGCCTATCCTGAAGTTGCCTGTCTGGCAAGTACCGAGGCAGAAGTGTTAAGTCTGGCTCTTAACACCCATGTTTTTTCTGCCATTCAACTTGTTGCATTGCCACTAAAACAGGACTGAGAGATTATTGTGTTGAAACAGAGTATCAGAATATTGAATTCTGATTCTGAATCCCTACAGTTTTTAAAACTCAAAAGATGTTCTGATATGTCCCATGTGTAGCAAGTTAGAAGAATCCATGATGCTGAAGTAAGTGTCTTTGAGCAGTTTTTCACCATTACCTTTGTTAGTTTGTGACATTTTATCTCACTTTTTAAAAGTTAAGTCCTGGACATTTGGTTTATCAACATTTTGTGCCTTCAGAAATCCAGTGTGTCCTGGTAGCAAGTGTTGTTTTTGGTCACCAAGTCATCTTATTCTTTTGTGACCATAGCCCACCAGGCTTTTCTGTTCATGGGGTTTTCCAAGCAAGAATACTGGAGTGGGTTGCCATTTCCTTCTGCAGGGGATCCTCCCAACCCAGGGATCAAACCTGTGTCTCCTGCGTTGGCAGGCAGATTCTTTACCTTTGAGCTACCAATGAAGCCTCCTCTGGCAGCAGGAGCAAAGAGCAATTTAAGCCTGGAGACCTGGGCCTTGGTTTTGTTTTCACATTAATTTTGATTAATTTTGCCGTTCTGACATTATACAGGTCAGTTCAACATTCTCTGCCAGGGTTTTCTTAAATGTCAAAGGAAGACAATGTCGGCATTACTTTACCAGACAGGAATGTTTTCAGTTGCAAGTAACAAAATACATGAATAACAGCAGTTAAAACATAAGGATGTTGATTCTTTATTTAATAAAAAGTATGGGGATGGGAAGCCTAATGGTGTCAAGGACCCATTCTCCCTTACGTCCATTGAACCCTATCCACTATTTGTTAACTTTCCATTCTCATGTTGTTGTCTTATGGTTGCAAAAGGGTTTCCCCAGCTCCAGCATCATATCCACACTTGACAAAGAAAAGAATAAAGAAGGAACAGAGCCAATTAAACTCTCCTTTGTAGCTGTTCTTTTAATTAAGAGGCATGCTCAGAAATCCCATGGCACACTTCACTGTCCAAAACTTGGCCATTTAGCCACCCATGCATTACTGAGAGACCAAGAAATTAAGCATTTGGCTTTTCAACCCTTGGTATTGGAGAGCAGAAAGGGAGAGAAAATAGTTTAGGATGATTTGTGTAGGTAATTGTCAGGATTAATACTCCCACATTCACGACATCAAGGGATTGTCCTCAAAACAGACTTTCCTCTTTGTTGTCATCCTAAATAACTTGTGACCAGTGTTTTAGACATTGTGTACATCCAATCATCTTTTTTCTAGATAATGTTATATATGTGAAGTATAAACGTGCAAAGTAAATACCATATTCAGGAAATGATTTATTCCAATGCAGGAAAATGCTCACCTGTGATCTAGTGCCCAGTAAGTTTTTCATGTCATTCAAAGTCACCTTTTATGTTTGTGTTCTCTTCCTGTTTTAGTGAATAGTAAACTAGATGTGAGCTATGTGTAAATAATGCCAGAACATCTGGATTAAAAGGGGGAAAAAATCAATTATCTGGATGTTTTGTCTACATAATAGCAAAACATGTAGCATTGTATAGACAAAACATCTAGATGATTGAATATTTTACTTTTCATCCAGACAGTTTGTTGTCACATGAACAAAAAACACTGCCAAGTTAAGGACATAAGAAAAAAACAGGATATAGCAAAACTTACCTTATTTGTAGAGTTCAGGCGTTGTTGCTTAGGTTATTATGGTAAAAGAGGACAACTGATGAGCTATTGTGTCAAGTGATACTTTAAAATGCTAGGCTTTCTTGGAATAAGCTTCTTGCTACATGTTCACAGTGATCATAATAAATGGTGGTTCCATTATGAGATGCTTAATACACACACAAACCACTTTTTCTTCGACATGGTGTTTATTTTGCAAATGAAGCAATGCATTCACAGAAAAGAACAGTGACTACCATTTATATCCTGGAAGAACAAATATAGAAATAAATTCTAGTTGTCTAATCATTGGTCAACCCATCAGTGCATATCAGTACAAATTCTTTAATTATTTATCTTTGCTGTTCCAAGCATGTTGCTGGTCACTTTTTCATGTGTAAATCATCATTTAATTTATTCTGTATTAATTTTGTGGGATTCCAGTTGTTATTCCCACTTTTAGATGAGAATTTGGGTATTAAATATGAAAAAAGTCTATAAAACCTTATAAGTTGATTATGTCTGCAAATAACATGATGCTAATTTTTTTTTCATTTAGCATGACTTACTTTGTGTCTAGTAAATAAATGAGAGTCTTAAAAGACCAAATTTCTAGAATTTGGGGTTATGATCCCTAAAAAGCTAGGATATATAGCTAAATACACTGCCTTTCTATTTTATTTTGTGTCATTCTATTATTTGTTTTGTTTCTTTCCCATGTTCTAAAGCCAGTATACTTACATTGAGAACTAAAGTTGACAAAGGAGGATATTAGTATTCAACAGAAATCTATTTTATCCTTAAAAAACTGATAGAGCAGTATCCTTAAATGCTATCTGTAGGGCCTCACTGAGATAACAAATTAAGTTTTATGACTCACTATTCCCATTCCTTCTTAAGGGGACTGTTCCAAATTCAATATGCAGAGGTCACTAGGGGAACATTCAGTCTTCAAAGTCCGCTTTCTATAGTCTCTTCTTTTTCTGGCAATGACTTAGCTGGATGGGGTGGTAAGTAAGACCTAGCAGAACTATGGAGCCAAAATTTGTGTGATCAGGACCCAGTGGGTCTGGGATTTTGCAGGTCAAAAAACTTTCAAAACTACCAGAAAAAAGGGGATGGGTCTGAGCCATAAAGCAGTAGAATTTTCAACTCGGGCCAAAGTAGTATATCATTCACAACAGAGAAAGTCATCCTTGTGATAACCCCTGAGCCCTGCAGCCACTTTGTTGAAACAGATTTTTCTGATTTATGACTGTGGTATTAATATTAGGGCTGGAACAAGTCTCTGTTTTTTAAAGAAAAAACTCACATCAACTTCCAGTCCAGGAGCTTCAAGGTAAAGCCTACAGGCAGCCCGTTCATGCATTTCCTAGCATTACAATTCAGCGTCCAGTGAACGCAATGTGTTTAAAACCTATATTGGGTTCTAGAATTAGATAGTGGTAATGGTCGCACAAGTTTGAAAAGATATTGAAAAGTACTGAATTGTACACTTCAAAAGGGTGAATTTTATGGTATGAGAGTTTTATCTTGGTTTAAAAACACTGTATTGGACTAATTCAAATGGCTTCTTGGGCATCAAATAGATCTTACAAAGCAATATTTTGGTGATTTAAGTGTAAATGAAACAGAAACATATGGAGTACATTTCTGCAAAATTGCACATGATTTCAGAAATTAAGGGGGAAACGTTCTTGGCAAAACTTAGTTGGGTTTCATCTAATCCAAAATATTTGAAAAATAAATTGAGACATTTCATAAACCAAAATACAGCTGTTTTTTCCATGCAGTATGTATTTGCTATGTACTGTCTTTCTCACTAAGTACGTTTCCTACTTATATTGGAAGGGACAGTCGGTTCAGGTACCCAGGTATATTGAAGGCATCAGATAGCATAAAGCAAGGTCATTGTTGGTGAAATTTTGCTATGGTAAATTAAACAGTATTCTCAAGGAAATATTCCTTACTGAAACAGTTAGAGAAGAAAACCTCTTGTAACAGCCTCTGAGTTAAATTCAAAAGCACAAAAAACTGAAATCTCTGACTGTTCATCAGAGGCTATCTGATCTCCATTATACATTAAAAATCTCTGGGCATATAAGTACCACTGTTACTGAAAATGCAGTCTTCTATATGGCTTAATAAAACCTGGCCATAAAAATGGTAGATATTTACACATATATCCAGTTTTTGAAGTCGTTGTGCAAAACCTTGAAATCATTCTAAACCCATATATTTATTTTCTCCTTTCTCTTCTGTTTTGTCCTAGACTTCAAGCTAAGCAGCAACTATGAGTATCCTTTTCACAGCTGATTTCCAGTGACTGATGAATGCATTGTACCCACAAAGATGTGTTAAATCAATGCTCTTGAGAGAATGGAAGTTTAACTTTCCTGCTCAAGGTCTCAAAGAGACTTTCCTTGACCACTTACAAACACTGGCTCTCCACTTTGTATTTACTGAATGTTCTTTTAAAAAAAGAAAAATTTATTTGGTTGTGCCAGGTTATTTTAGTTGCAGCCTGTGAAGTCTTAGTTGCAGCATGTGGGGATCCAGTTCCCTGACCAGGGATCGACCCAGGCCCCCAGCATTGGAAGCAGGGAGTCTTAGCCACTGGACCAGCATGGAAGTTCCTGCACTGGCCTTTCTTTACTTCCTAACTTGGTTTTATATTGTACATCACTATTTGTCCACTATCCGACTCTTTGGCTAGAAGGTGTTTTTTTGTGAGCCCAGGCACTTAGTTTTGTTCACCGCTCTCTGATAATCTGAGGATGAATTATTAGAAGATACAGAGAAATAAGAGTTAGACTCAACCATTACTTGGACATTGGTCCCAAGGCCAGTAAAGGAAACAATGAAAGGATCAGCGCCTGTCTCACAAGTAACCATTTTTAAAGTACTGGAATTTACATCATACCGAACTGCTGGACCCAGTTTATCCATCTCCACAGATCTGCTCAGATAAGGCTATACTAAGGGCTTTGGCAACCTGACCTGTTTTCTGGTCCCTGTGGAGCCAGCAGTAGTTCTTGTTTCTGCTGTGATGGTAAAACCCCACCATGATGCTATCACATGGGCTTACACCATTGATTCTGACAGTCTTTAGCAGGGGCAAGGACCTTCAGCAGTGGGACGCAGGAGCTCTAGCATCTAGGTCTTACCCAGCTGGACCCATAGAAGTCTGGCTTCTTTAGCAGCTACACAGAGGGGCTGATGATAATGCCCCATAGAGGGATCTTTGGACAGTTAAAGATGGAGCAAAACTGGCAGATACATTGTTCATCTTTCCACCCCAATTCCATTGGCATGTTCTGAGAAGTAAGAATTCCATTTTGCCTTACCGGAGACATTTCATATATCCGCACAACTAACTCTGTTTTCCTGTGAAACTGTGGCCTTCTTGGTCATGCAAGGACGTGAATTTGTCTTCTCTTTTCCTTCCTTTGTTTTTTCCCTTCATTGATGCTTCATAGGATTAGAAGGTCAGCTTTGTTATACCATAATTCTAGGCATCTAGGCTAAGACAGGGAGAAGGCAATGGCACCCCACTCCAGTACTCTTGCCTGGAGAGTCCCATGGACGGAGGAGCCTGGTGGGCTGCAGTCCATGGGGTCACTAAGAGTCAGACACGACTGAGCGACTTCACCTTCACTTTTCACTTTCATGCATTGGAGAAGGAAATGGCAACCCACTCCAGTGTTCTTGCCTGGAGAATCCCAGGGACGGGGAGCCTGGTGGGCTGCCGTCTGTGGGGTTGCATAGAGTCGGACACGACTGAAGCGACTTAGCAGCAGCAGCAGCAGGCTAAGACAATTTGATCATAGAAAGCTGCCCCTTGGGATAAGACTTTGTCTGGAGGTGATATGAAGGCTGTGGTGTGTAGGAACAGTTACTAACGCTTTTCTCTAATGATAATTGAGGTATTGGAAATCAAGGCATCAGGAGACAATGTGGTTTCTGTTCGTGATTGGTAGGAGGGAAGTGGTAATAATAAAGATGGTGGTGAGGAGTGGGATACTTCTGTTAGCCGTGGAGGATGTGTCAGAAGTAAATGAAAGGCTTAGGGAAACACATTGCCAACCTAAATCACACTTTGAAAACCCCCCGAAAACCTCTCTGGCAGCTTTAAAGCGAACGCTCCCTTCCTTTAGACTGAGGAAAGATTGTATGGAAAACTCTGGCACAGTATCTGGTTACCAGGATGAGAGAGTCACAAAGGAAACAAATGCATACCATAGGTCCTTTGTGGTAAAGGTGAGAACTGAGATAAAGAGTAAGAGTGGGGAATTTTGTTTAACATTTTACTTTATATTGGAGGACAGTTGATTAACAATTTCTATTAGTTTCAGGTGGACAGAACGTGATTCAGTTATACATATACATGTGTCTGTTCTTTTTCAGATTCTTTCCCCACTTAGGCTATTACATAATACTTAAGAGAGTTCCCTATAGGAACCAAGAAGGTCCGTGTTGGTTATCCATTTTAAATATAGCAGTGTGTACATGTCCGTAGATCAACATATGTGATAATCTTGATCCTTCAATTCCCAGAACTCTAACAGTCAGCAAAAGAAGTCCGTTTCTTACCTAACACAAAAGAACAAACATCCTTTGCCTGGTGATTTTGTAAATACTTCACCTGAACCATGCATCTCTCAATATGACTTTTTTTTTTCCCCAAATTGTCTGTGGGTCTGTGTCAAACCAGTCAATCCTAAAGGAAGTCAACCCTGAGTATTCACTGGAAGGACCGGTGCTAAAGCTGAAGTTCCAATAATTTGGCCACCTGATGTAAAAGAGCCAACTAATTAGAAAAGACCCTGATGCTGGGGAAGATTGTGGGCAAAAGGAGAAAGGGACAACGGAGGATGAGATGGTTAGATGGCATCATTGACTCAGTGTACATGAATCTGAGCAAACTCCAAGAGACAGTAGCAGACAGAGGAGCTGGGCATGCAGCAGTCCATGGAGTCACAAAGAGTCAGACAGGACTTAGCAACTGAACAAGAACAAACAACTGTGCCTACTATCTCTTATTGTGACCAGGCTGGGTGACCACACTTAAAGGTCTGAGGTTAAGTGGATGCAATTACTCTAATAGTGATGTTGAACTAAGGTTGGGGATCATAGTGTTTAATCTACAGGAATTTACAGCAATTATGTTTGAAAAAGTGAGAAAAGACAAAGAAGTGTTTCGATAACTGTGGGTTGCTTGAGTTGTATAATTTAAAAATCAAAGTCTGGTGAAGTCTGAAGGATGATATCAACAGCTACAGAGAAAGTTCATGTCACTCTATTTCAAGATCTAAGTTAATTCCCAGACCCAGAGTCATATGATTGATTGGAAGGGAGGTGTGGTAAGTGCAGGAAAATAAACAGGGAAGGTATTTCCCCAGTCCTTCTGCAAAGGGACTCATGGCCAATTTTCAGAGCCACCATACCCTAGGGAAAGAGTACCCAAATATTAAAGACCTATTAGATATAGAATCTGAGCAGCCATTCATCTAATCAGACCTACAATGTTTTGTGGTCTCTTGCTCGGAAGGGCACTTTAAAGAAATTTGAGGAGATGCAATAGATGGAGAGAACTTCCAAGAATGTGGGTGGGGCTAGAATTGGACACCCAGAATGACTTTGGAAACCAGAAGTTAGGGTTGGTGGAGACAATAATTACATATGCTTAGAGAAGTTAGCAAAGGAAAAAGTATATGGCAAGATGGAAACCAAGAGAGGAAAGAATTTCAAATAGGAAATGGTTTGTCAATTAACATTCTGAAACAAGATTTCCATTTGTTCTCAGGATTAACTCTTGAGTGTTTGTTTCCATTTGCAGAGTGGTGGAAGACAGGTTCTGCCCGCTGAAGTTCATGATCAAAAGGCATTTCTTTTATTCTTTTATTTTCAAATGGTTTTCAGAAAGAGACTGGGAAGCTTTCTCAGACTGGGGCTGAGGACGGGGCAAGAATAGATGCCTGAAGTCAAGTTTTGGCTACGGGGAATATGGTGTGAATGGAGAGAGAGATTGGTTTAGCTCTCACACTGCCTTCTAGCATTATAGCCTTAAGCAAGTGGGTAAAAACTGGAAGGGGCTTTGGGAGCCATTAAACAGAAAAGGAATTTTGAAGACTGTTTTAGCCTGAGCTTCCTGGAAAACAGAGCCTGAAGCAAAGTTTACAGGCTAACACTTTATCAAATTATGCCAGCCCATGCATAAGCAAGAGGAGAGGGGAAGTGATTCAGGGCACAAAGAAAAGGCAAAAGCAATATGGGGTTTCCTTACCCAGATGACCACATCTTCCCAGGAATATACAACCCTTTGCCTGGTCATTTAAGAGTTTTATAAATTGTTAAAATGAATAATTGAATTTATCAATCAATATTAAATTAATTTATATATATTGGCCACAAACTGAAAAGTAGATAAATTGAGAAAAAAAGAGAAAGGTTGTGTCTATTACACTGTTAGAGTAATCTGCATCCCACCTAATTTCATAAACAGAGTCTAGAATAGATATTTTTACAATCAACTCTGAATTTTCAGTTATGTAGAAATGTCCTTAGGAAAATATTCAAGCAATTTCCCCAAAGAAAGATTGTGATGGTAAAGAATGTCCTGTGACCATTTATGGAACTTTAATAAATTATCCTCTGATAGTTGATAGCTTTGGTTTTCAAGAAAATAGTGTATCTTCCATGATAAGCCATGCTTATGCCCAGTCGCTCAGTCGTGTGTGATTCTTTGCGACTCCCTGGACTGACCACAGCCCTCCAGGCTCTTCTGTCCATGGAATTTCCCAGGCAAGAATACTGGAATGTGTTGCCATTTCCTTCTCCAAGGGATCTTCCCGATCCAGGATCGAATGCTCATCTCTCTTGGGTCTCCTGCGTTGGCAGGCAGATTCTTTACCACTGGCACTGCCTGGGAAGCCCATGATAACCATTCAAAGTTGTCTCCAAGTTCTTGATTGAGGCATCTCTCTGGTCTACCTAAACATCTTCATCACACAACCCAAATGAATCTCATCTTTTCATAATTCTCCCCCCCCATAGCACCTACGTTCTGTTTGGTCCTTCTCCACTCGGACCTCTGACCCACTTCTATCACTTGTTAGGGCTTCACAGAGTTTCATGTAACACAAACCTCTTGAAGTTGAAAGCCACTGTGTGTATCAACAAGAGATTACGATATTGACATAAATATAGACACAGAGATTTAAGTAATTGAAACAAACCATTCATGTTTAAACAACATGAAAATAACAGTTTTACCTCCCTGAGAAATCACTATCGATACAAGTGTTTCCCCAGTCTGTTACAAAAGTCATCACCAGCACCAGCTGTCACTTCTTGTTTCCTCCCAAGTAACTGGGTCTATTTTCC